TGATGATGATGATGATGATGATGATGCTGATGATGATGATGATGATGATGATGATGCTGCTGATGATGATGATGATGATGCTGATGCTGATGCTGATGCTGCTGCTGCTGATGATGATGATGATGATGATGATGATGATGATGATGATGATGATAATGATGATGATGATGATGATGTCGGATCCGTGCAGCCTTCAGAGGAGATCGTGAAGCTCACCATCGACATTACCAACCCGCCCACGTACATCATGGACGCGTCCCCATCCATGTAAGCATACAGTAACCCTGTATTGGTTGCATGAGGATGGTGTGGTGTTGCGCCCTCAGCAGTCTTCGCCTTCTCTTCCCCCGCCTCTTCCTCCTCATCCTCCTTGTCCTCCTCGTCCCTTTCCCTCCTCCTTCCCCGTCCCCCTACCCCTCCCCGTCCTCGCCCCCCCGTTTCCCTCCCCCTCCCCCTCCTGTGCCTCCCTGCCGCTGATCCGTGGCCAGGGCACCCGGCCGCGGTCTGGTTCCCTCCAGGGTCAGGCATGTCGGCCGGAGATCCCACACTCGCCACGAGGGAGGTGTGGGGGTGTGCCGTCAAGCCGTCAAGGAGTTCTTTCTCAGCACCCGGGTGGAAGGCGACAGACTACCAGGATGCAAGCGACAGGGCACACCTCCAGACAACGATAGGGAGGGGGAAGGGGAGGAGAGAGGAGAGCAGAAACATTTTGGAAGGCGGAGGCGACGGGCGCTTGGTCGGGGTGTGTGAGTTTTCCTCCTCCCCCACTTCTTCTTCTTCTTCTTCGTCTTCTTCTTCTTTTTTCATCTTTCTTTATTTCTTTCTTTCTTTCTCCCTCTCTCTCCCTTCCATGTCCCCCTCTCCTCCAATCCTCTTCGCCCTCTTCGTCGTCCTCGTCGTCTTCAGCCTCCTCGCCGGCCTCGTCCTCAGCCCTCGTCCTCCGCCCTCGCCCTCGGCAGCGCCCTCGTCGCCCTCCTCCGCCCGCCCCTGCTCGCCGCCGTCCTCCGGCGGGCGTGTGGCGGGCCGGCGCCCCCAGGACGTGCTGCGCAACATGGCGTCCGTGCCGACCTGGGCCCCCCTGGCCACGCCCAGGGCGCCCCCCCCCGCCGCGCCCCTGCCCCGGGGCCCGCCGCTCGCCGCCGCTCCTCCCGGTCCCCCCCTCCTCCTGCGGCTGCTCGTCCGCGCCCCCCGCCCGACCCCCTCCCCTTGACCCCCTCTCTCTCCCCCCTCCTCCCTTCCATCCTCCCCCTGCCCTCCCCCCCCCCCCTCCGCTTCCCCCTCCTCTTCCTCTTCCTCTTCCCTCCTCCTCCTCCTCCGCTCCTCCTCGCTCCTCCCCTCCGCGACTCAGGCTTTCCTCGTCTTCCTGAGGTGTGTTCGGCTCCTGGACGCCCTCTTGAAGGTCTCGTCTCTCTCCGCTCCTCCTCCCTCCTCTCCCCCCGTCCTCTCCTCCTCTCCTCTCCCTCTCCTCTCTCTACCTCCTCTCCTCTCCTCTCCTCTCCCTCTCCCCTCCTCTCTCTCCTCTCCTCTCGCTCTCCTCTTTCTCTCTCCTCTCTCTTCTCTCTCCTACTCTCTTCTCCTCTGTCCCCTCTCTCTCCTCCTCTCCTTCTCTCTCCTCTCTCCTCTCCTCCTCATCTCCTCCCTTCTCGTCCTCTCTCCGCTCCCGTCTCCTCTCTCCTCCCTCCTGTCTCCTACCTCCTCTTGCTCCTTCATTCCTCTCCTCTCCTCTTTCTCTCTCTGCTCTCCGCTCCCTCCCCTCCCTCCTCTCCGCTCCTGTCCTCTCCTCTCCTCTTCTCTCCTCTCCTCTCCTCTCGCTACCTCCTCTCCCTCCCTCTCCTCTCCTCTCCTCCTCTCTCTTCTTTCTCCCCTCTCCTCTCTCCTCTCTCCTCTCTCCTCTCTCCTCTCTCCTCTCCTCTCTCCTCTCGCTCTCTCTCTCTCGCTCTCTTTTCTCTCTCACTCTCTTCCCTCTACCTCCCTCTCTTCTGTCTTTCCCTGTGTCTCATTATGTTTCTCTGTTTCCCTCCCTCTCTCTCTTTCCCTCTTGTTTTTGTTGTTGTTTTTTTGTGCATGGCTTTGCACTTTTTGTTTTGCTGTTGCTTTGTTTTTGTTATGTTGTTGTTGCGGTGTCGCTGTCTTATCGTTATTATTGGTTGTTGTTGAACACTATTACTTCTAAAGAATTATTATTGTTGACCCCCTGGTGCACGCCCCCCGCCCAAAACCTAGGCCGCAGCTACATTTTCATCATTTTTCTGCGAAAGCTTCAGAAAAGTGGATTACCCCCGGATCCGGTTTTTTGTTGACGCTCGTTTTCCCTTGCAAAAACAATAGAAAATGAAAATTCTTGTTCTTAGTTGATCAAATTTCAAGAATCCCTTGCAAAAAATAAGGTAAAGTGGACATTCGCGCTCGCAAGACGAAATCCTTCCAAAACCTTAGGTTTCGTAGCGATTTTAACATAAAAACATCAAAAACCCAATGGTTTTTAAGAAAAAATTGTCAAAATGTCCTTCCGCGCGCTCTTGCGGATTCATAGGAAACACACCACTTTTTAAACATTTCTGTCAAAAGGGTCTTTGCGTGCTACTTCTTCAGGTGCTTTGAACTTCTCCAACAACGGTTGCGCGCCTGCGAGGGCCACCATCCCTTGCAAAAAATGAGACGAAGTGCACATGCGCGCGGCCGCCGCGCGCGCATGTCGAAATCCTGCCCAACACAATGGGTTTTCAATAATTTCAAGATGCGATGTTCAGAAAACATATGAAAACGCACTACTTTCTCATCCGAAAAATCTCGAAATCCATTCGCGGTCTCTTGATGAATCTTTAAAACCCAAGATGGCCCCAACAGGCGCGCAAAATGGCCCCAAGAGGCGTCCATGAGGCCCAAAGAGGCGCCCAAGATGGTCCCAAGAGGCTTCAAGAGGACTCCAAGAGGCCCCCAAGAGGTTCCAGAGAGGCTCCAAGGTGGCTCCAAGAGACCCCCAAGATGGCCCCAGGAGGCGTTCTAGAGGCCCCAAGAGTCCGCCGTGAGGGTCCAATAAGCCCCCAAGAGGCCCCAAGATGGTTCCAAGGAGCCCCCCAAAGGCTCTCAAGTGACCCCAAACCGCGCCAGGAGGCTTCCCCCCTTCCCCAAGAGGACCCCAAGCGGCCCCAGGAAGGCCCCCGACTGCTGACGCACATATCCGTAGCCATCTCGGATCAAGGTATCGCCTGTGTTCTTGGATCATGGCTTTGACGGCGAAAGACCTTCACGAGCAGTATGGCCCTGAGCTGTCGCGGCCTCCCTTGGCCGACTGCGAGAGTGCGTATTATTTGCAACAGGCGCTCCGGGCAAAGGGTATCAATGCTAGTCACCAGGCGTGCAAGACTTGGTGGGCCAAGTATCGGGTTGTGACTGGCACGGTCAGTATTTCTAGCGCCAAGGAGCTGGAGGAGCAGCACGGCTCTGCCATCCGCCACCTGGGCATTGAGTATAATACCGCTTTCAAATTATGCCGGGCGCTCCGACAGTTGGATCCACCACTGTATGTGCCAGATAGGGTCGCAACGGCGTGGCTACTGCAGTATTCATCCAAAGACACGCTTGTCCAAGTGCAGAACGCTGGCCACTTGGAGACCTGGTATGGAGAACGTATTCGCAAAGACATGCCCGAGGGGACCACTGACGGGGCCGTCTTGAAGCAGTGGCTCCTGGGACATTTATCTGTATCTGCTAACGCCAAGGTATGCCAGAAGTGGCTCAGCACGGAGTGGGGCGCCGAGGGGGCATTGAACATTGCCCAAGCTGTGGAGGAATGTATGGGCGAGCGTCTTCGACTCAATCAGTATCGGGAGAGCTTCGCCGACGAGGCCGCTGCGGAGGTCCTCTCGCAGCTTCTCTCGGAGAGCGATCCCCCCGTCGCTGTCAGCGGTATGGTTTTGAGGCAATGGTGCGTGAAGTATCACCCTGACTCTGGACCTTTGCAGTATGACACGGCCGAAAAGCTCAACGCGGCACTTGGTGACCACATGCGCGCTGTATATCCAGGGCTGAAGTACCACACGTTGCATACCGTGTTGCGTATGCGACGGAAAGCTGTCTTGGTGTCCCGCTCAGTGTTGAGAAAGTGGTGCGATGTGTATGCGTCGGTGGGCTCCTCCGTGCAGGCGGCGGCTTCATCCGCCCAGGCCGTCACCACGCGTGTATTGAAGCGCCCGGCGGCACAGGTCGCAGGCGGTGTATTGAAACGGCCAGCCGCCGCCGGATCTGCCCGCGTGGCCAAACGGCCTGCCGCGGTCGACTGGGAGGAGCCCGTATCGAAGCAGCAGGCCACGGCAGCTTCTTCCTCCACAGATGTGGTTTGTATAAAGCTGCTGACGGGGGATGCTGTAGAGGCGGCATGCGGCAAGCGGTATCGAGAGGAGGTCTCCGACCTGGATGCTTCTGTATGCGTCGCGCCTTTAGTATGCTTCTGGATGCGAAGACCATTCGGTTGAGTATACCCCTACGTGTGACTGGACCTGTTTGCGAAAGCAGGAGAAAGTATGGCACCCCTTTGTGTCCAGAGCCGCGCCGTCTGCGTTCTTCCTTTCTCGCTTCTCTCCTTTCCTCCTTGTTCTGCTCCTCCTCCCCCTCTTCCGCCTTGGAGCCGTATTGGAACTGTCGATGGCCATCTCCCTTTCTCCCTCGCATGTCTGCTTGTACATACGTATAATTTCAGAACTTACCGTGCATGCGATCGTTTACAACATGGTGGACCGTGCGTATGTCACGAACCTTGTATACATGTGTTTCTCTCCCTCCGTCTGGCTGTGCACGCGCGCGTTGGGCACTGAGAGTTAGGATCATAGCGCCATGAGTCTATGAGCAATGCATGCGTCATCCTTGGGACTGTATAACATCAGTGTAACACATGTACTTCTGTAATCGCATCCCCACGAATTTGCCCCAAAAATGTGACCAACTATCTTGGCACTGCGTACCATCTCACGTGTACCGTGTACCACATCATATGTAACAGATGTGATCAACCTCTGTGGGTGTGTACCCCACGCCAGTGTAGTAGCCAGGGTCGTCCGCACGCCACGAAGTGAAGTGTCCCAACGTCATAGGGCGGGAAGCTGGGTGTGGGTGGTCTCGAAGAGTCGTTTGGATATTTGGTAGAGCTTGAACGGCCCCCCCACGAAGTGGGGGTATTGGCTGGTGTCGCAAGAAAACCCTGGCACTGGGGAGAACACTGAGCGTTCGGGTAAAATGATTGTTGTTGTTGTTGTTGTTGTTGTTGTTGTTGTTGTTGTTGTTGTTGTTGTTCTTCTTCTTCTTGTTCTTTTTCTTGTTCTGGTTATTGTTCTTGTTGTTGTCGTTGTCGTTGTCGTTGTCGTTGTCGTTGTCGTCGTCGTCGTCGTCGTCGTCGTCGTCGTCGTCGCCGCCGCCGTCGTCGTCGTCGTCGTCGTCGTCGTCGTCGTCGTCGTCGTGGTTGTTGTTGTTGTTGTTGTTGTTGTTGTTGTTGTTGTTGAGTTCTCATGTCTGAAGAATAATTATTGTTGATCCCCCCCACCGGTGCATACGGTTTTTTCTCAATCAAAGTGTGCCCCTCGACGCTCGCACCTTGTTTTTTGACAGGGAAAGTCTTCCTGGTCAAACTGGCCCCCTGGGCCCCGGGTTATCACAATTTAGCCAGGACCCCCGCTCCCGCCCGAGACTTCCTCGCATTTTATTCAGGAATCGCGCTCTCGATTGGGGACTTCCTGACAATTTATTGAGGAATCGCTCTCCCGGCGCTCTGGAGTCGCGCTCTCGCTGGAGACTTGCTTGCAACTTACTGAAAAATGGCCTTGCGTTGGAATTTCCTGCAATTTGCCCAAGCCCGACACCCAGGCACCCAGGAGTCGCGCCCATTGTGGCCCCATGTGCGTGCCCTTCGTGGCCCCGCTGTCGCCATTTGTGCCCCCCTCACTGTCCTACGTGGCCCAGTTGCGACCCTCAGTGGCCCCATAGTTGACTTCTGTGGCCCCGCATTATCTGCACTTCGTGGCCCCCGATCGTTCGCGCTCACGCATTCCCTTCGTGTCCCCGCTGTCGCCCTTCGTGGCCTACTTCGTGCCCTTCGTGGCC